CAGGTGGTCCCAAGAAAGCCTTTTCGTGATCGAGAATTTAGGGTGCACATCGGAGGGAATATTTGTAATTAGGTTCTAGAAAGTGCGAAGAACATGGTTGGGGCATCAGGAGGGCCAACTCTTTTCCTGCCCCTTCTCCTGCTGAGCTGCCTCCTGGCCCCTGGGCGGTTCTCTCCTTCCCCATCCCTGACTTAGAAGGTACCCCGGTGCCAACCCCCCCACGCCCACCCCTACACCCCCCGCTGCCCTTCCATAGCCTGCCTCAAGCTCAGGGTGTGGGACTATAAGGTTCACCAATCCTGGCTGCTTTGGTCACCCCTAACCTCACCCCCATTGAACCTCCTCTTCTAATCTCACAGTGAAGCTCATATCTGCTCAGTGAGACTGTACATTATTTGAGGACAAGGCCTCTTTCCATATCCCCACCCTAACAAGGGGGACACATTTTCTGAAGTAAGGATGAGGAAATGTGGATTGAAGGGCACACGTGTGCTGATGGAGACAGAGTACCCATGATTAGGGCTGCCTGGCAAACCCCAAGCCCCCAGGAGCTGTTTCTGTCTGTTTCCCACTGATGCTGTGGTCAGCTGAGCCTGGCTTATGGGCTCAGGTGACCAGGGTGCCTGAAGGCCTGCCTTCTCTTAAGGTATAAATTCCTTCATCTCCTCTCCCAGACCAGAGAAAGCCCACCCCAGCCAGCCTGCCACAAATCTGCTGATTTGGAGAGCAGCTATGTGTAGTGGCTGAATCACAGAGATCTGGGTTTAATTCCTGACCCTCAACCTTCCAGCTGGGTGGCCTTGGACAAATTACTTAACCTCTCTGAGCCTTGGATTTCTCACCTATGAAAGAGAATAATTCCTCTCTTCATGAGGTTGTCTGGAGACTGTACGCAAAGCCCTCAGCACAGCAAAGCCTAGAACATAGTAGGTGTTCAGTGAATAGCAGCTCGTCCCTCCAACCCCAGTGCTCTCTAGCCATCCACTTCCTTCTCCTGTTTTGTCTTCCCTTGATCAGAGTCCTGACCTTTGCTTGTTTTTCTGGTACACACCCAGTGGCCAACCCAGGCCAATATATGATACCGAACCGTAACCTGGGGGCCTTGGCAGACAACCTTGAACTTGGCTGAGGCTTGGCGGCGGGGAGACCAGACACACTGTTCTTTTCTGCTCTGCGGGTGTGTCTTGCGTCTGTCCTGCTTGTGCCCCCTGCCATGGGAAGCAATTCCTGTTCCCCCTGAGCTACCTCACTGGCCTCACCGCTGGCATGTTGGAGGCAGCTGTGGAGGGCAGAGGCTGACAGAGCCAGGCCTTGGGTGCATAGACAGGCTGGAGCCTGTCAGGGTGCTGCCTGTGTGTGTGTTCCAGAGGGCTGGGGTCCTGGGCCTCTCAGGTAGCCGCGCTTCTTGGCTGTGGCTCCAGCATGGCTTGGTCCTGTAGTTGGAACCCATGTGCCAGGCGGTCTCTGCAGTTTCGGCTGGACATGGCAGCCCTGGCTAGCCTCCTCCTTGGCCCGTGCAAAGCCTCAGGGCCGCTTCAGCTGAATCAAAGCCCTGAGGTCCCTGCTCAAGGGCTAGGGCTGAGAGGGGTGTGTGCAGATGAGCATCCCAGGGCCCCAGGGCATTGGAACTGCAGGGCCAACCCCACCCTTTTGTAAGTGGGGGACTAAGAGAGTAAAATAGAACTGCTTTATTTTTATTATCCTTATTTAGTATGAGAAAAAAAACATTGCTGAACCTCGCTCTTATAACAGCCTCAAAACTATTCATATGTTCTTAGGCCTTAGGCCTTAGGCCTCCTTTTGGGGATAATTTTCCATCTTCCTTTCCTGCAGATCCTTTAGTGGAGTCTATGTAACTGACTCAGTGTTTGTTTATTTGCTAATGCCTTCATTTCATCATGGTTCTTAAAAGATGGTTTGCTGGATCCAGGATTCTAGGTTGATGGTTTCTTTCTTCTTCTTTTTTTTAATTTTATTGGGGAACAGTGTGTTTTTCCCAGGACCCATCAGCTCCAAGTCAAGTTGTTGTCCTTAGTTGTGGAGGGTGCAGCTCTGCTTCAAGTCCAGTCACCATTTTAATCTATTGTAGTTGCAGGGAGCGCAGCCCACCATCCCATGTGGGGGTCAAATTGGCAACCTTGTTGTTAAGAGCATGCGCTCTAACCAACTGAGCCATCTGGCCACCCAGCGGCAGCTCAGCAGCAGCTCAGCTCAAATCATTGTCTTCAATCTAGTTGCGGAGGGTGCAGCTCACTGGCCCATGTGGGAATCGAACCGGTAACCTTGTTGTTAAGAGCACTGTGCTCTAACCAACTGAGCCACTCAGCTGCCCCGATGGTTCCTTTATCTTAGTGTTTGATGGTGTTACTTCAGTGTCTCCCCTTATTACTGTTGCAAGCCTATTCCCAACCCAATGGTCCTTCTTTGGTGAGTGATCTGTCTTCTCTCTTGCTGCCTGTAAGATTTGCTCTTTGACTGATGTGAGCATGGAGAAAAGTTCCTGAGAGACTGGTCACCATCCGTCCCCAGGAATGGAGCAGATGTGCTCAATGAAACTTCAAGAGGAGACAGTGGCCAGTGGAGGAGGTGGACGGGAAGGTGGAATGGGGCTCATGGCACAGAGAGCGCCCCATTACTGGAATTGTGTGAGCATGGGCTGGGGAGAAAGTCCCCATCACGTGGGGGTTGGCCTCAGTTACCTTCATTGCCAGTGACCCTGGGGCTCTTTTAGTGGCACCACACGGCTTCTGCCTTCCTCTCCCCTGTATCAGGCCTCTGCCCATCTTGGAAGGGTCTAGTACCTTCTCAGTTCAGGGTCATTCCGGCTCCTCCAGTGAGACCCACCTGATCCCTGCTGGCCACACACCACCATCTTGTTAACTCAGCTCCTGGGGTATGGCACATGGGTCTGTGCCACAGAGCTCAGTATACCAGTCACCCTAAACCTTTGGTCTCCAGGTTATTTCAGGGTGCTGGGTGGTCTCTACAGGTGGCATGTCCTTTTTTGCTTGCTCAGGATTTACATTTAGGCCACATACCTGGGAGTGGGAGGCGGTGTCAGGAGGCCTCACTCACCCCCTCACCAATGTTGGAAACTCAGGTCCTGATTCTGTCTCCTGCTCAGAGTGCAGCAGCCCCCTCCCCTATCCCACTGTGAGGACCTCCTAGTGTCCTGGGGTAGAGATGGCAACCATTGGAGCAGGGTTGCTGGACTGTCTGATGGGTGGGTTTGGCCTGGTGAGTATGGGGACAGAAGTGAGTACATGGCAGGATTCTGATAGCAGTTTGCTTGGTTCATTTTGGAGAGAGACACAGGCAGGAAGGCAATGGCCCTGGGTACTTCCAAAGGCCAAAGGTCCTGCAGACAACCACGTCCCCCCAGGGTACCCCAGTGACCACTCTCTTCCCCTGCCTCTGAGTAACCGGTAGGTTTACATGTGTATACATGGGGCACAGGTGTGGCTGTGTAGAGCGTGTGTTGTCCATGACCCCATCCTTGGTCTGCATGCCCACAGGGTATGTCAGGGAGGTCCAAGACACTGAACCCACCCCCGTGTAGAAGGAAGGCCATGCTCTGGTGTTGGTGGGGCTGAGATGTCAAGGTTATTTAAAGTCATCCTACTGCAGATCGATGATCATTTCTGCAGATCAGCAAAGAATCCTTAGGTTGGAATTCTGTTAGGGAAAAAATGTGTGTGTCTGATTGGGCCCCCCACCCCCTCTAACCTGGCAGTTCTAAGGTAAATCCAGGTCATGTGGGTTGAGAAAGACATCATCTCTTTATGCATTTGAGCACTTTGCTCCCATGGTGTCTGTGCTTCTGCTGGGGAGAAGGGGGTGGAAGGAAGCGCCACCACCCGTCGGACTTCCCGTCATTCCCTGTGGTGGGATTTTGGGGGGATCTGCTGTCCCACAGTGGGCGTTGGTCTTTGGTCTCAGTTGGGTCCGGACACGGGTGCCAGGCAGACCCTGGTGGAAGCCTGATGCTGGCTGCTTTCAATTCTTTATGCTGATGGTTGGGGCGCTGATGGTGGGTGGGGGCTCCACAACACACGCAGCCTCTGCTGCCATACCTCTGTACCCACAGCCTGGTCTGTCCTTGGTTGGCCCAGGAGGGGTTGTCGGCACCGTGGCAGCCTTTGGTCCCCCTCCCAGCTCTCCCCTCCCCAAGGGACTCACACATGTAGTTAGCCTCGCTATTCCACTCCACTTGGTGGACAGCATCTTTTTGTGGGTTGTAGGCTGGTTACTTTGCTCAGGAGCTGCACGGCATGGAGAGATGGAAGTGGTGAGAACAGGGGAATGCATTCTTGATGAACTATGTGCAAGGACTCTCCCATAGGTACCTGGGCTGTGGGAGAAGGGACCTATCCAATGCAGTACTCCTCAAACTTCACTGTGCCTAAGAAGCACTGCGGACAATGTTCAAATGCAGACTCTGACTTGGGAGATGGCCCTGAGACTCTGCATTTCTAATGAGCTCACAGGTGATGGTGATGTTGTTGATCCAAGGTCCTAGAGCGCATCCCCTGGATTTGCCCTGGAGGAGTGCCAGGCACTACAGGGCAGACAGATGATTCCCATGGCAATTGGAAAGGTACACAGGATGTGAGGATGAGGGACCTGACCTACGTGGCGTCTTTGAAGAGCTCTTCAGATATGTGGAAAGATGAGCGTTTTCATCAGAGTGGCTGAGTTTGAGACCAGGCCCCTTACCACTTGCCTTGGTGGAGAGAGCTCAGGGTTGGAGTTAGGCGGGCCAGGTTTTGAATCCCAGCTCTGCAGCTTATTAATTGCATGGCTTGGTCAGGTCATGTTGCCTCTCTCTACCTCAGTCTCTTAATCTGTAAAGTAGGGATAAGAATGCCCGCCTGATAAGGCCATGGTGAGGATGGAATGGAATAACATATGTCACGTACCTGGCCCAGCACCTGTTAACATAGTAGGCCTTTAATGAACGTTTGCTTCTCTTAAAACTGCATGCTCGTCTCTCCTTGCAGGTGGATGAGATTTACCATGACGAGTCCCTGGGGACCCACATAAACATTGCCCTTGTCCGCTTGATCATGGTGGGCTATCGACAGGTAAAGGCCCCTTGTTAGCAGGCAGGGTTTGGAGGGAGAAGGGGTATGGGGCTAGCATATCGGAGTGGGCTGCGGTGTGGGGGAGTGGGGCAGCATCTAGGGAACATTTTGTCTCCAGAATCAGAATCCCAAGATCATTAGAACTGAGGCTTCAGTGGCAGATGCATTTGGGGATGGTAAACAGGGACGTCTGGGTTCTCTCCAATCTGACACACAGAAGTCCTTTACCCTTACTGCTGGAGACCCCTCTCCTCAGGAATCAATAGGAAAGTTGGGCTTAGAGAGGGCAGCGACCAACACAAGTCTATCTATGGTTGGGCCCTGGGGCCCTGGGCTCTGCCATCTTAGACCAGTCACTTATTCTCCCCAGGATGGGGGTAATAAAAGAACTTTCCTCCAGGGACTATTGTGGAGAGCACCTAAGACAACACACGTAGCACATAGGAAATTCTCAGAACCACACCTACCTTGTGGATTAGCTGAGAGATTAGAGATAATGTGTGTTGAGTTCTCAGCAGACAGGTATCCCTGCACAGGGTTGGCCCATGAACATTCCATAAAGTAAAAGGGCTGTGTGCCAGCAGCAGCTGGAGTCAGTGACCTTGGTGACCTTGGGACATGCACTCCAGTCTCCTGGGCTTCCGCGTTCTCCTGTGCTAGTGGGAGGGGAGCGCCGGGTGCCCGCTGTGGGCTGTGGGCTCCAACTGACCACTCTGCTGTTGATGCTCTCCGGCCCCACAGTCCCTGAGCCTGATTGAGCGTGGGAACCCCTCTCGCAGCCTGGAGCAGGTGTGTCGCTGGGCACACTCTCAGCAGCGCCAGGACCCCAGCCATGCAGAGCACCATGATCACGTTGTCTTCCTCACCCGGCAGGACTTTGGGCCCTCAGGTATGCAAGGTACTGTATTTGCCGTGGCCAGATGTGTAGCTGCAGGGCAGAGGCTGAGGCTCAGGGCTGGCCTTGCCCTGGGGCCCCCGCAGGGAGGCTAGAGGGGCCAGGTTCCCTGTCAGCCAAGAGGTCCGTGGGACTTCGGAGATGGGATCCAGATGGACAGGTGGGCGAGCTTTGTGAAGATTTCTTGGGGCTCAGGAGAAGTGAAGGGGCCCCCACTCTGGTCCCTGCTGTCTTCATTGGATCTGCAGGTGGTTCTCTGCTTGCCATTGTAGAGCCCAGCTGCTTGAAGACCCTCAGTGGTCTTCAAGGTGCTTCCCCCAGAGTATTCGTTTGTCCTCACCACAAGCCACGGGGCACCTAGTGGGGCTCATGTGGACTTTGGAAAGAAGTCTATGTTCTACCCACAGCTCCAGGCTTCTCTGGCCCAGTGATCCAAGCTTGCTTCATTTCCCTGGGTTCCCCGACTGTCAAATGGGGAAAATAATAGTTTTTGCCTTTCTCCATGACACGGCTGCTCAAAGGCCCGATGGGGTACATGAAATGCCTGTGACAGGGTATGACTGTAAACGCTCTGCAAACACATGGAGCTTTGACTACCCCTTTTTCCATAAGGAGAAACTGAGGCATAGAGTGGTAAAGAGGGCTTGCCCATGTCCCACAGCAGAGAGGAGACAGATCTGAAACTCAGACTCGATCTCCACGCTTTGAGTTGAGGGCTTTCTAGTTTTTTTCTGGTTTGATGCTGGAAGTGAGTCAGCCAGCTAGGCCTCTACCCAAATGGCTCTTTGTCTGAATCCCTGAAGCCCCAGATGCGGGCTTGTACACATACATGCAGATACATGTACACACACATGTATAAACACACACACAAAAAGACAGATACACATGCATACACATCGCAGACACGTGCGTATACACAGACACATGCACACTCATGCACACACTCACGTGCAGGCACTGCCTCATGTATACACTCTGACAGGCACACTACACATACCGACACGTACACATACACACATACACATGTACATGCATGTACTTGCACCCCTGACAGAGCCCATCTCAGACCTCCAGGACCATAGAGGCCCCTGGAACCTCTTGTCCACAGCAGCCTCTCATTATCCCCCTAAACCATCTCAAATAAAGAGCACTTCAGCAGTTCTGAAGACAGGGCCTATCTGCTCTGCTGCAGGCAGGGAGCCCTCTCCTGACACTCCTTCCTTGGAGGCCTTCCCTAGCCTAGTCTGTCCCCCCAGCCCAGTCTGTCCCCCTAGCCCATATCTGGGGCTGGGAGCAGGGCTTGGAAACAGGCCCCTTAGAACACAAGCCTCGCTCACAATAGCTGCTGAGCAAACGTTGGCCTGGCTGCTGCTGTTACGCACCAGCCTGCTGCCCTGCCCATGGCTCCCCAAGGCCTGCACAGCCGTGTTTACACCTTCATCCACGTTCTCCCCACCATGTCACTTCCCCCCTACCTCTGGAGATTTGTCTCACCTGGCCTTCAGTCCCAGCTCTATGCTCCCTGTAAGTCATTCCCTGGCCCTCCTCAACCCCTTCGATCAAAACCGTTCTCTTCTTTCAGATGACCTCTGCACTCCGTTCTGTGCCCCTTGATCTCTGGCCCTGCAGGCCACACCTGAGCTAACCTAACCCCACGCCTGCCTGCTAAGCCATCTGCTCCTTGATGTGTGGGTGTGTGGCAGGAAAGGGGTGGGGGTTTGGACCTGATTCCTCTATTTTCCCCATGATCTCTAACACAGTGGCACCCCTACCTCCATATAAATAAAAGTTTGTTTGTTGACTGACCCACTGACTGGCTGGCTGGAGGGAAGTGGTGTGGAAGTGTGGTGTGCGCAGGCTCGGGGTCTGTAAGGAAACCCCCTGCCTGGTTTAGAGGAGAAGCTGACAGGTGCAGGGAAGCTTCAGGCCAAGAAGGAAGCCATACGGCTTTCAGATGGAGGGCAGCTTGGCTCAGGTTGCTCCACTGCAGGTGGAACGGTGCAGGGATCCTTTTTCCTCCAGGGACCCTCCAGCAGTGACCAGGTCAGGGTGTCCCTGTGGGGCTGCCGGGCACAGACCTTGCCGTGTCCTGTCTACCTGTGCATGACTTCTCTCTTTGCCTTCTCTCCTTCTCCCCACAGGGTACGCGCCTGTCACTGGCATGTGCCACCCCCTGAGAAGCTGTGCCCTCAACCACGAGGACGGCTTCTCCTCGGCCTTTGTGGTGGCCCATGAGACTGGTCACGTGTAAGTGGCACTGAAAGGGTGGGCTGTGTGCCTTGAGCTCTGAGGCCTGTGGGTGTGGGAGTCTGCCCCAGATCAGGCCCCAGTCCCAGTGTCTCGGGAGATGCCAGAGGAGCAGCCCGCATGGGGAGGCCCTGCCCTGACAGGGAGGGAGCCCAGGGCCCAGACATCAATTCTGGGCCTGCCTTGGGCCCAGCCTCCAAATCCCAGGGCCAAGGGGGACCAAATGTGACCCTGCCTTTCAGCAGATCAATGGCAGTGTCCCTTCATAGGCAGCGGTTGGCTCTCTGGGTGGTCTCTATCCCCAACTCAAGAACCTTCTGAGACCTGTTCCAGCCCACAGTGGTGCTCAGCACACACTGGAGCACTGGCCTGAGTTCACCACAAACAGGCGTGCTTAGACTGAGGCTGGCAGCTGGCTGGCTTGATCTTTGGGCCGGGATTTTGTTTAGAGCATGCTCATGCTCATTCATTCATTCAGTCAGTGTTTCTTGAGCACCTACCATGTGCCATGCCCAGTTCTAGGAATGGGGCTGCAGTGGAAAACAGGACAGAGAAGCACACAGAAGCTACGTGCTGGGAGAAAGCCAGTAAGCCTCTATCCAGTATGTCAGATGGTGATGCGCACGTGCCACCGTCATGCCTCCCGGCCTTGTCTGTCCATAGGGACAGAGCTAGGAGAAGTGCTTTCCAGCCCGCACATAGACGGAGGGCTGTTCCCTGTAGTCTGAGGGACAAGGGAAGGAGCATCATGGGCCAGTCCCTGGGGATGGGCCTGCTGTCCATGGCCTCTGTGCCTCTCTCCGCATCAGCCCTGTCAGCACAGGAGGCCTGTGTGGATTTCATCCTAGCACTGCCCCTCGCTGGGCAGGTGACACTTCCTCTCTGGGTCTTGGCTTCCTCCTCTGCAACATGAAGGCTGATGTCAGGGCCCCCTCTGAGGTCTCTCCCTGCCCTCCACCTTCAGGTCCCTTACTGCTCAGAGTTTGGATTCTGCCATCCTGTTTGTGGGGGGCAGGGGAAGTCCACTCTTCACTGAGCTGAGGCCCTTCTCTGTGGAAAGACAAGGTCAAACTTAGAGGCCTATGTGTCTGTCTAGTGGTCAAGTTTAGATGCAGCCACCTGGAAGTATTTAAGCGTTTAGAACCTTTGAGCTTTGGCATTCAATATTAAATATAAACAGCAAAATTTAAAATTTAAACTTTAAAATATGCACTATGGTAGGTGCATACCACATGCAAACCTCTGCTAAGTACTGTGGGGTCTTGGAGAAGCTTAAGAGGCTGTCTCAGTAAATGAGGTTGAACTGAACTGAAGGACACCTGGCCTTACACTGGAAGGCCTTGAGTCTGGTGGGAAGACAGCTCGTGGCATGCGAGTTGTTAATGGTGGTAAAGCTGGCTCCCGACATGGGTGGTCAGCCCATGCGCCGGGCGGCCAGGAAGGATGTCCTAGGGCAGGGATGGTGCTTGAGCTGGCCTTGGAAGCTGTGAGGATGTGGGTGGGGTTTGAGGAATTGCAAGGTGTCTGGGAGTAGAGAACAGCAGGGGCAAAGGCTTGTAGGGAAAAATGAGCCTGGCCCTACTGAGGGGCAAAGGGGGGACTTTAGCTTTCATCCAGAGGGTGGCCCTCTGCACCGCATGGTGGGGAAGCTGTGGCCAGGAGGCAACAGGCAACATGGTCAGGGCCCATTGTTGGCCGACCTGCCTGTCTTCCTAGGCGTGGGCTCCCTGGGCATGACTCAGGGCTCCCTTCTGTCCTCCCTCCACCCTCTAGGCTCGGCATGGAGCATGATGGTCAGGGGAACAGCTGTGCAGATGAGACCGGCCTGGGCAGCGTCATGGCACCCCTGGTGCAGGCCGCCTTCCACCGCTTCCACTGGTCCCGCTGCAGCAAGCTGGAGCTCAGCCGCTACCTGCCGTAGGTCACCTCCACCTTTGGATCCCAGGATGGGGGAGCATGCGGCCTGCCACTCCATCTCCCCCAAGTCATCTCCCATCCCAGCACCATCCCGCTGCTGACCCATGCTCAATTCCAAGCCTTGCTGGTTAGCAACTGTGTTTCCATGTCCCTGGAGGCTCAGGGCAAGTTTTAGACTTGGGGGAGTCCCCCCAAATTGGCGCAGATACAGGCAGAGATACTGTCACGAGCGTCACATGGCAGGTGGCCAGGGCCCAGCATCCTGTGTCCTGAATGGCAGGCTGACTCTTCTACCCTCAGTGCAGTGAGCCCTCACATTGTCCACGAACCAGCCTTTAATCTTGGCCATAGCGTGTCCCTCTAACATGGGCAAAACTGGCCCCATAAGATAGCTACAAGCTGAGCTCCTGACCCCAGCCCTGGAAACCCTCCAGACACAATCGTTGGTGGATGTGAGGTCCTGTGTTAGAGGGGCTCAGGGCAGCACCCTCCCTGAAAGACACAGCACTAGGGCAGTGGAGCGGATTCCTGCAGGCCTTCCTTGCACATTAAACCTTGCTTGGGAATGCCAGCCTCAGCCTGGCTCACTTTCTTGTCTCCGCCGGCAGCTCCTATGACTGTCTCCTCGATGACCCCTTCGCGCCCTCCTGGCCCCAACCCCCGGAGCTGCCCGGCATCGACTACTCAATGGATGAGCAGTGTCGCTTTGACTTTGGTACTGGGTACCACACCTGCTCTGCGGTGAGTTCCCAATGGCCTCTGCCAGCCAGGCCGCCAGGGCCATGTCCTTCTGTGACCCAGGCTGGGTATTCACAGAACACCTTCTGCCCAGCCAGGCTGGTGGTCAGGAGATGGGCCCACAGGCTTGGTGCCATCATGGGGATGTAGGGTGACCAGTGCCCAGGCCCTGCCACCTTCTGTTACCTAGCTGCCCTGCCCAGCCCCACTTATGGGGACAGGTGCATGCAGTGGATGGAGAAAATGTTTTAGCCCTGGGAAAGATGGAACAGCTGCTAACCAGGGCCCAGGCAGAGGCTCAGGGAAGGGTAATCCCAGGGCAGGGGGCTTTCTGAAGGGGCAGGCCTTGGTGACTTGAGTGCTTCAAACCCCCCATCCAGGAATGCAGCCCCCTCCTCAGCTCTGCAGGACCAGGAAGCCCTGTGCATAGTCACCTTCCCCGCTGCCCAGGCCACAATGAGACATGTGGTCTCTGCTTTGGGGGTGGAGAAGCAGCCTGGGATATGGGCTTTTAATGCCCAAATGCTGTATTTGTCAGGACAGTTGTCTGGATGCCAGGGAATGATAGGAAAGGAAAGGAGGGCCTTCCTGGACAATCTGAAGCATGCAGTTACCAACCTCTGGCATGTCTGGGAGAGATTGGAGGGAAGTGGGAGTCCTGACCTTGTCTGGGTACTGCGGAATCTGGGCTAGACCAGCAACCCCCTCGATGCCCGCCATGTACACAGGGCTCAGGGGCATCGGCGGTTGCAGCCTCCATAGGGTCTCAAACCCTAGTCCCTGCTCAGGGACAAAGTGGCTTCTGCAAAGGCAGGGAGGGAGGCCTGGAGAAGGAGACTAGGGGAGTGTGGGCTGTGGCTGGCCCCTTTTCCTTGGTGCCCTGTCGGAGAGAGCAGGGGTCACTGGAGGGTGTGGCACTGGGCTGGGGTCAAGCTTGAGGGTGTGCGAGGCTCTGGCTGGATGGGCCCCTCCTGCCTCCCTTGCAGTGTTTGGGGCCCAGGGTTCACCACTCCCTGCTCTCTCTCTGTCACTGCTCTTTGCCCCCAGGGGCCCCTTGTCAGAGCTGGAGAGCCAGTCCAGCTTGGTGACCCCATTCCCTTTGCCATGCAGTTCACGACCTTTGAGCCCTGCAAGCAGCTATGGTGCAGCCACCCTGACAATCCGTACTTCTGCAAGACCAAGAAGGGGCCCCCGCTGGACGGGACTGAGTGTGCACCAGGCAAGGTACCTGCAGGACTGGCGTCTACAGCAGGAGTGACCCTCCTGCGGTGTAGGTCCCAGGGGAACCCCTGCCTCCCCACCAAGTGTGTAATGAATGTGTGTGTGTTGGGGGGCGGCGCTGCTAAAGGTCAGGTGTGAGCCCCATGTGCATGGAAGCCTCACATGAACTTGCACACTTCACACTTTTTCTTCTCTCCCACACCTTAGCCTTTGCTTCCATGGTTTTCAGAGTTTGGCATCGCCTCATACGCTTACTCGCATTTCACAGATGAGGAGAGTGAGGCTCAGGCAGGTTAAGGAACATGTGGAGGTCCCACAGGCAGTGAGTAGCAGAGACGGGATGAAGAGAGGACTCCATGTGTCCTGCCTGCTGCCCGCGCCCCGTATGCTGCTTCTCCCCCACACATGCTAATTGCCTCCCTTCCCCAAACTTGACTTTTCACATCTCTTCCTGGTGTATGTTTGCTCCCTTATGCATGTGTGGGGGCCCGGGATTCCTTTGTCAGGGGGAACTTGTGGTCAGGTGTGAGAGCCCTGAGCTGAAACCTGCCTCTGTTCTATTGCTGGCCCTGCTCAGATAGCTGTGAGGTGACCTTGGGCCATTCATTGAACTTCTCTGGCCCTGCTGACCCCTGACCAAGTGTCCTTCCCATCGCTCATGTGGCTCTGAAGTTACTGAGTCACGTCAAAGCAAATGAGAGAGCTGGGAAGAAGCAGGGTGTTAAGAGAGGCGTGCTGAGCGCTCAGCCTCAGCTGGGCCCGGCCACGGGGGACCTGCCCTGCCCTCATCAGGCTCCTCCCACTCACAGCTGTGAACAGCCTGTCCCTTCACAGATGGACGGGGCTTCCAATGGCCTACATAGGCCGACTGGGCTCCAAACTTGATAGAGTATTCTTGTGGAGACTGAATATGCCTACTCCATATGTGATCAAAGTTCCAGGCCCTCTCCTGTGACAGTTTCACACAACAGTTCATAAGTGGCTCTCCATTTTGGCCGCATATTGGAACCACCTGGGGAGCTTTAAAAGTCCCCACCCCCAGAACAGGGAGTGACTGCATGTAGGGATGAGCTATCTCTTTGGGATGATGAAATGTTCTAAAATTGAATTGTGGTGATGGTTGCACAATGCTATAAATTTATGAGAAAAAAATCATTGAATTATTTACTTGAAATGAGTGAATTTTATGGCATGTAAAGTATATATCCCATTACAGCTTCTTTAAAAAATCCCTTCCCCTTGAGATGCTGACTCAGTTGGTCTGGTGTGCAGCCGAGGTATCTGGAGTCCTAAAAGTTCCCCAGATGACACAGAGGCTGAGAGCCACTGCGTTATCTCTTTTAAAAAGACCTGAAGAGCTATGCTACATTTCTTTCCTGTTGTCCTACGGGAAAAAGAAAGGGAGTTAACTTTGGTTGAACTCTCCTTTGTTCCTGGCCCTGTGTACTGAGGCTTTTGGAGGTGTTATTGCCTTCAGTTCTTAGAACAGCCCCATTTAACAGGTGAGTAAACTGAGGCTCAGCAAAGTTAAGTTATGCCAAAGCCTCACACAGCTAGTAATGACTGAGCTGGGATTCAAACCCAGGCCTCTTGGACTTGATGCCTGGATGGGCCTCCCCGTGGGGCTGGCTGGCTTCCCATGAACACATCAGCTTGTGGCCCCTAGATGGTCGTTTCAAGGTACAGAGCCAAGATTGACTCTAGATAGCGTGGGAAGATGGTTCTTCTCTTCCTTATCAGCCCTTTATTTTTCCCAGGGTGGTGAACAAATAATTACTTAGTTATCACCATCATTGATAGCACTATCTGCCATTTCCGGAGGGCTTGTGTCTGCCAGACATTATCTCATTGACTGCTCATAGCAGCCCCGTGCTATTATCCATGCTGTACAGCTGAGGAATAGGCTCACCAGAGGGGAGCTCTTTGCCGAAGGTCACTCAGGTCATGGCAAGGGTGGGATTGTGTGTAACCCCAGGCTTGTGCTCTTAATGTCCCTTTCTTTGGGCTCGTCCGTGGTGCCTACCAGCTGTGTCATGTGCCTGGTTAGGCACCCACCATGCTAGGCAGCAGTGGCCCCAGGTCGACCTCACGTCCTCTCTTCCATCCCAGTGGTGCTTCAAAGGTCACTGCATCTGGAAGTCCCCAGAGCAGACTTATGGTCAGGATGGAGGCTGGAGCTCCTGGACCAACTTCGGGTCATGCTCACGGTCATGTGGAGGTGGGGTGCGATCCCGTAGCCGAAACTGTGACAATCCCTTGTGAGTATGCTTGGCTGGGCTGGGCAAGGCAGGGGACCCCTCTCCTTAGGCCTCAAGGGCTTGAATGGGAAGGCACTGGGGAGGGGGGCAGGGCACAAGAGAGGGGGACCCTTGCAGGTGGTTGCACATTCTAATAGATAAGGACCCAGAATTGTGATGGGTAGGACACAGGTCATCCCCACCTGGGTCTGACATCTCCCATTGGGGCTGACGTCTGCGAATGGCTTTGAACCAGTGGCTTTTAAACTTGTGTGCTGACGTTTTCCAGAGAATCTGGGGGGCCCAAGACTCTGCCAGTTTAACAGGCCCTCCTGTGACCCTGATCATCTGGCTAAACTTCGAGAAAACACTGATCTACATGCTCAGTAGCCATGTCTTGGGAGAATAAATTCCTCAAGTTTGTTTTCTACCACATGGAGCAAACCTTTCTTTAATTTTTCTTAACTTACCTCTTTCTAATATCAAATCCCTCCTTTCACCCTCCCGCCCAACTTTTAGCGTACTGGGGGAGCATTCTATTTCCCCCTTTTTAATCCTTTCTGTGGGGACCCCTCCCATGGGTTTGGAACTTCTGAGAGCCAGCTCTGCATGGACTTCATCTCCCAGGCTGGGGCAGCATGCTTAAACAGGCTCATGAGAGATGGGGCCTGGTGGGCCAGCGTGTGGGCCTGCTGAACCTCCAAGGGGCAGTGCCTGGCCCACCCCCCATGCACTGAGAGATGGGGTGAGGGCTGCAGGATGGCAGAGTCCTAGCATCACAGTGGCTCAGTAGTGGTCACCCCCCTTCTAGCATCCTCAGGAACAGTCCTTCATACTCTGTTGTTTACCTCCAGGGATGGGAAGCTCACTACCTTCTGCTCCTGTGTCAGATGGCTGTACTGGCCTTTCACATGTATGAGCCAAAATGAACTGCCTTGTAGCTTCTACCTGTTAGGGGTATGAAAGGTGGGGTTAGAGAAACCCATTAGCACCCACTATGAATAAACCACCTTACACTCATGACAGATGATTATCCCCTTGATCAAAGCTACCACTTATTGAACGTCTCTGCAATAACAACCTTTTATTATGTGAGGCTTAAATGCAATACTATGTGTACTCTCAGCACTATGCCTGGCCCAGAGGAAGCACAAATAAATGACAGCTGCTGTTATAATTATTATGGTATAGCAAGCACTTTCTCTGTGCCAAGTGGGATGCTAAGCACTTTCCTGCACAAACCCAGTAATTCTCCCAGGACCTCTGAGCAGAGCACCTCCTGCACTTGGATGCGTAGTATCAACAATCTTACCTAATCCTCTGAATTTAATGGAGAGGAGAGTACAGGTTGCTTTAAAATAGCTTTTCTTACTTATTGTTCAGAGACACACCAGGAAGTAGGCAAAATAAGAGGTATTACCGTATGTTCCTTTCTTTAAAGGGGAAATGAAAGCACAGCAAGACAAAGTGACTTATCCAAGACTGTAGTCAGGACGTGGGGTTCGATTTCACCAGAACTTCTGATTTCAAAGCCAAGTCTCCTCTACCACCTCCTAGTCCTTTATGATATTAAATAGAAGTGGATGCAAATAGGAATAGTTGAGTCATTTATTGAATGCCTGCTGCCTGTCAGGCTCTGCGTAACAGTTGAAAGAATATAGAATGAAAAATAAGACTGATTTCTCTTCCAGCCCAGTTGGGATGGTTTGTCATTTCCATCTTCCCCATCTCTTGCCCACCCCTTTTTACCCCCCTTTCTCCTCCTACACACACACACACACACACACACACACACACACACACACAGTGGAATCGGTGACATATGCCTGAAGGGTGGAGCCGGAGAGATCCAGCAGGCCCTGAGCTCAGCAGCCCCCATAGTTGGGGTCCTTCTGTAGTTTATAAGTTCGTGGAGCCCCTTTTTATGCTCCCCTCCAAGGCAGAGCTGCCCCTGGTGGCCGTGTGGGAATCCCGGCCCTCCCCAGCCTTCCCAGCCAGCAAAGTCACCGAGTCGCCCTGTGCCTGCCCCAGCCCAGCCTACGGAGGCCGCATGTGCTCAGGACCCATGTTCCAGTACCAGGTCTGCAACAGCGAGGAGTGTCCAGGGCCCTACGAGGACTTCCGGGCCCAGCAGTGTGCCAAGCGCAACTCCTACTACATCCATCAGAACACCAAGCACAGCTGGATGCCCTATGAGCCTGAGGACGGTGAGCAGGCCCTGCCTTTCCTCCTACCCCACATGTCCTTGGGCATCTGCTGGGTCCATGTCTTGCCAGGCAGGGCCTCCCATTCCTGTGCCCACCAGTGAAGGTAGAGGGACAGTGAGGGTACCAAAGGGACATTTCAGTCGGCCAGCTTGGCACATACATCTGTGCAGCCCTTTCCATTGTGCACCTGAGGTGTCCTCATCAGAGCCGTCGCTGGTTTATATACTTATGATGACTTTTCTAGAGATGCAAGGAAAATGTCTTGAGCGAGGGCATTTTACCCAGAGGTGCTGTGAGACCAGCAGCCGTGCTGGCTATTGGGGTTGGTGCCTTTCACACATGTCCTTACCTGTACAGGAAGGCACTGTACAGATATAGTCACCCCTGGCTTTGCAGAACCAATGTCCTGAAAAGCTCGGTCCTGTCACACGTCGTGGTTTTAGATTTTACTGATCGTGCTCCCATTTCAGCAATTAATGAAAGTAATATGAAAGGCAGGCAGATGGGAGCCTCTGGGACCCCCGCTAGGCTCCTCTGGGAGAGACACAGGTCTTGGGACTGATACACAGGGGACCAAGCCAGTACCAGCGCCTGTCTGTTGTGGAACATTTCCAGTGATGGCTCTGTAGTGGCCGAGAGAAGCCAGTCTGGGGCTGGAGCTCACTGTGCCTTAGAACCCTCAGGCTGAAAGGGCCTTCACAATCCTCTGAGCCCACCTCCCCCTGCCAGTCTCTCCATGGTCTTTCTTTTTTTTGTTTTTAGCTGAGCCATCCTGCCACCTGTTGGCAGCTCAGCGGCAGTTCAGCTCGGGCGGGGAATCCAACCGCAGTTGCTCAGAGCTCACGCTCTTGAGCAAGCTCTTAACCAACTGAGCCACTCGGCCGGCCCTCCATGGTCCTTCTACAGATGGACACTTACCCCTACCACACAGCCCTTGGCCTCAGACAGTGCCCGTTAGAACCACTCTTCCTTTCCTAAGCCCGGGTCACCTCTTTGTAGCCCTGGTTCCAGAGGATCAACTGTAGGACCCTCAGCCCTTCAGCTCAGGTTTAGAATGTCAATCTTCGAGTGGGAAGGGACCCCAGAGGCCTGTCCATGGCTGGCCAACACACAGATCCCTCTGGAACATGCTTACAGGGAGCATCTTCCCTCTGCTTGGATTCCTCTCGCTCTGGGGAGCTTACCACTCCCTCACCACTGTGGGCTGGCTTCCACGGCTGCCCCAAGACCCGCCTTCCCCGGGGTCCTGCCTGTCTTTGGGACTGTTGGAGCCCCATCCCTCCGCCCCTGGCCCAGGTCCCACCAGGAATCTGGCTCCCAAGTGTGAAATCCACAGAGGTACTGGATGTTGTGGCTCCGGACTCAAGTCCTGAATGCTGGGGCAGGATGTCACTAGGTATTTTGGGGAGCCCAGGGACCAAGAGAGGAACCTTGGAAATTTAACTGAGGAAGTGGCTAACTTTAAAAGCCTTGCAGATCGATTCAGAACCCAAACAAGCCACCGCAGCATGCAGCATGGGACGGGGAGGGGCTGTGAGGGGTGGTGAGGCTGATAGGGCAGCTGGACTTTGGGTTTTCCTAGGACTTTTAGACAAATTCCAGGAAGTTAGCTAAGCCCCAGCTTCCCTTTTTCTAAGAAACTTGGTGATAGTTAATATATGTTCCCTGGAACCCCCTTTTTAGGACATCAATAGCCGAGATAAAGAAGAGAACATTTAATTGTGAGAACTAGAAAGGACCCCCTTCCTTCCTTGACTGCTGCTCCATTTTACAAACCTAAACACAGACCACTGTTCTGCCTGCCTTTCAAGCAGCCTTCTAATGTTTATACGCATGTTAGATACACCATCGTACATGTGACAGGTGACATGTACACAGAGGTCAGAGCAGGACTCAAGCCAGACTGCCTGGGTTAGAATCGTGGCTCTTGTACTTAGCATGTGGCTGTGTGGCCTTGAGCAAATTCCTTAATCTCTCTGGTCCTCAGTTTTCTCCTCTGTAATGTTAGAAACAACTCCCTTGGGGGTATTGAGCGTTTTAAATGAGTTAATTCACAAATAGCACTTAAAGTTATACATGTAGAGTGTGTAAAGATTTTGGAAGCACCTGGCACATAGTAAGCATTCCCTGAATTTGGGCTTATGCTTATTGTTGTTATTCTTATTTTATCACTTGATTTTTTTTTCTCAACAACCTGATGTGGCACTTTACTGAGCAAGGATAATAAAAACAAAATGGAGGCCCGGAGAGGTCAGCTGATTTGCCCAAGGTCACGTGGCTAATAAATAAGTGACAAAACAGGACTTCTAAGCCCCCCGCCCCAGTTCTCCATCCACTGCCCAGAGCTGGCCCTGGAAGCTTCCTGCTTGGGACATACGCTGATGTTGTCCTGGGCCAGCTCACTTTCTCCTAGCCCAGCTGGGGGCTCAGTATGGTCTCTCTCCCTAAAGACGCCCAGAAGTGTGAGCTGATTTGCCAGTCGGAGGACACAGGGGACGTGGTCTTCATGAACCAGGTGGTCCACGATGGGACACGATGCAGCTACCGGGACCCCTACAGCGTCTGTGCCCGAGGCGAGTGTGTGGTAAGTGCCCCCCTCTGCCAGCCCCGGGAAACTGGAGTGCTGCACTGCCTGCCCCTTCTGCTCCCTGTGAAAACAAGCGCTGCCTCACTGTCCCCACCCAGGACACCCCTTGGTCCTCAACATAGCCCTGGGATGCTGGAAAGGGGTTATTGCTCAGCCCCATTTAAGAGGAGAGGAGTGGGCCAGTTTTAAGACCCTTCCCATGTCACATGTGAGTTTGTGGCAGAGCCCCATCCAGGAAGGCCTCTTGGTCCAGGGTCCTCTCGTGTCTGGGGCTTGGGGACCAGGGAGGGAGTTGTAGGCTGCTGACCCCAGCGTGGTGATAGGGGCATGGGAACCTCCTCCCACTGACCCCACCTTTGGCCTCAGCCCGTTGGCTGTGACAAGGAAGTGGGGTCCATGAAGGCAGATGACAAGTGCGGGGTCTGTGGCGGCGACAACTCCCACTGCAGGACTGTGAAGGGGACACTGGGCAAGGCATCCAAGCAAGCAGGTGAGCAGGCTGGGGCTGAGGGGATGGCTGGGAGTGACGGGGGTTCTGGCCCAGCCAGGGTTCCTAGAGCTTGAGCCGTCCCTCAGGTGGGCACCCCTCCGTGAGCTGGGCCACAGTTCACAGTGGGGAAAAAGGGCCTGAGAGCCTATCTCAGACCTTCCCAGGCTGCCCGGGGCTGGTGAGTCAGGAAGCTGTACCTGGTAGCCGCATTTTCCAGGTGATCTGCTCCCTGTCTTTGGAGCTCAGAAGCATTTTCCTACCAGGTGATGTGTTGTATCAAGAGCTCAGCCATCTCTTGGGCTCTGGGGCTCTTGGTGGGAGTGAGGATTCACACAGGTCTCAAAGTGTGGCCCAGGCTGAACTGGCGAAGTTTTTTTCTTCTCTCCTCTCTCACTTAAAAAAAAACAAACAAACCTGTGGTACCTCCTGCTTTGAAACTCCGGGTACCTTTGAATTCCTTGACTTCTATCCTCACCTTCAATCAGGCCAAACTTGCTGTTGAAAAAGCTAGATATTAGTTCTTTACACTTGAGTATACACTAGTTCATTTCCCCTTGGGGGATGTTTCAGCTTTGCTTCGCCTCTCCTTGCTGGGGGGAGATGGTTGGCTCTGAGAGAGGTTTGTTTTCTGTCCCGGATTGGGAGGGCCACGGGGGCCAGAGCAGCCATGTTGGATATTATTCATGGCCTGCTTCACCTAAATCCCTACAATGGCTTAAGCTGTGAGAAGAAGGTGGGAGGGAAAAATCAGGAGAGAAGAGGAGAGGCAAGAAAGTGGGAAATAATAGCAAACACACACACACACACACACACACACAGCCCCTTAGAGTTCCTAGAGCATTTTTAGCCATAGCAGCTCATTTGGTCCTCTCAGCACCTTGTGGGGAAGGGCCCATGCCTGTTTTACAGATCAGGAAACTGAGGTTCCTAGGTACCTGCAGGGCT